TCTGATACAAGCCAGAGGGCTGTTGGCCCTCTCGGCCCCCTGGGCACACTGCCGGCTCATATGCAGCCGGCTGTCGACCAATACCCCCAGGTCCTTTTCCGCCAGGCAGCTTTCCAGCCACTCTTCCCCAAGCCTGTACCGTTGCATGGGGTTGTTGTGACCCAAGTGCAGGACCCGGCACTTGGCCTTGTTGAATCTCATGCAGTTGGCCTTGGCCCATCGATCCAGCCTGTCCAGGTCCCTCTGTAGGGCCTTCCTACCCTCGAGCAGATCAACACTCCTGCCCATCTTGGTGTCGTCTGCAAACTTACTGAGGGTGCACTCGATCCCCTCATCCAGATCATTGATAAAGATATTGAACAAGACCGGCCCCAAAACTGAGCCCTGGGGAACACCGCTCGTGACCGGCCGCCAACTGGATTTAACTCCATTCACCACATACATATTAGAGCATTCAGTTGCCAGCCCTAGATGTAGCCTGCTTGTTATTACATTAAGCACCACTGTTGTATCATTCTGTCTGCACCCCCAAGCTAGAATTAGAAGCATTAAGTGTCTTTTCTCCCTCACTTAGGGAAAGCAATAATTGCAGAAGTTTTCCTTGGCCGCAGTGCTCCAGCTTGTTCAGTGAATTCCATCTATCAAGTCAACTACCCAGAAGCTAATTCAGTATTCAGGCCATGGAAATGTCTAGAAAGTGATGCATCTACTTCTGGCAATGGTATGTATTTGTAGGCACTTGTTAGCATAAAGTTAAGGTTAAATTAACGTTTGTTTTCTAAACTCATCTTTGACTTTGAGTTGTGTCAAGAGGTTTCATTCCTCAGAACACAGCCTCTGCTCAGCTGAAGTGCATGTTTTCAAAGGTAATAACAAGCAAGAAGATTCCTCTTTGAAAAACTATTTGTGCTTGTTTAGTTCACAGAGTGAAAGTGAGCTGTGCCACACTGCTTTTAACCATCAGTCCACACTAAAAGTAGTTTACTTCATGCAGTTTCATACCTACTCTTTGTACAGCAGGATTGCGTGAGTGTTGCAAAGGGCAATATGTATATGCCACAGAGGAAATCTTCACCCTTAAAATCCACAGCCTTTATCTGTAAGCAAAATAAAAATGAGTGCTGCTGAGAAATACGCTGTTATAAGTAATCAGATTAAATCTCTGTATCATATGTATCCTCTGAGTGATAGATTCTGCTTTACCCTACTTTTTTGCAAGAGAACAGTGTGGGAATTGAGTAATAATTTTACCTGTTCACTCTGACATATGGTCCAAACTTTCAGATGCTAACAGGGAGCAACAGCTATCTCTTTATAAAGGAACTGGGATTGTTTCTGGTTTCTTAGAAGGGAGGAAATGAAAGCTAATTTGGAAGGTGATTACACCATAATATGATGGAGTAGTTTTGGACAGTGCAGCAATGAAAGCACTGCAGGAGAGCTGTCCATGCTCTCACGATCTAAGCTAGTCTTTGACAGGCTGCGGTCTTCATGCTGGAATCTGACAGTTGCTTATTCTACATGGGGTATTAGATAGCCAGGTTCAACTCCCTTATCAGCCTGTGTGAGTCTGTGTGGCAAAGGAAGTCTAATGGCAGAAAGGATTAAAACTGATGCATCTTCATGGAAGTAGATACCTTTGACTCATTAACATTTGGAAATTAATACTAAACTTAGCTAAAAAACAATAATATATTTACCCTGTTTCCTCCGCCTTAGAAATGTGAGCTTCCTTGGAACAGAGAAATTGTGACTACAGCTATTGGCATTGTGAGTGGTTTGTGTTTGACCATGAACTGGTCCTGCCAGAATACATTGCTGAGTTTGAGCACGTTACACTGGTATGAACTTTGTTTTTCCTACTGTGATATTAGAAGGCAAGCTTTGGATTTCACAGATCAAGAGAAAAAAAACAAGTAGGTAAAATTAAATTCTATTCTACTAACATACCTGACAAGCCCAGGTTTAAGGTTGATTCTCTTCTGTCCATTCTGTCAGAGCCAGATAAAACTTCTGTGGAAGTCAGTGAGAAACTTTCCACTCATTGTAGGGAGATTTAGATGAGGGTCTTATTTTGTACGTGTAAAAAGCATAGCAAAGAAAGCAAAGATCCTCTAAATTTCAGCAGATTAAATGAAATGCAGCTAAAAACTAAGTCCTCTCTCGCTAAGAATTACTTTCTCTGGGGTACCATCCAAAGTAAAACTTACCTTACTGACTGTGCAAAGGTTCTTTTTTTCATGGGGTGTTGCAGGAGCAAATGACCTTTAGTTGTTTGATTTAAATTGTGAGATGAGCTATTTTGGAAAAAAAAAAAAAATTTCTTCTCAGCTGGTATTCTGAACAAGTTTTTCCTTGATTCCTTCTATTCATTTTACAAGCATATAATGCTGCTGTTTCACTCATCTAACTTCATGACTTGCTGCCAAGGTAGAAGGGCTCATTTCAGACTCTGAGTTACTCTGTCTGTTAGAAACAAGAGAGTATGGGGAATTGGGATGTTCTGCTCTGGGGGAAGGAGGAAGAGAGTTGAATTCACTGATGAGTCAGGTCTGCCTGGTCCCATGGTTCAGTGTAAGGCTGCTCTACTGTGATTCTTGGACTTTGAGAATTTCAGTGCATAGGTGTACTTCTTCTGACTCCAGCCAGAGTTCTGTATGGCACACAACAACCCATACAAACAAAAACATTATGCAATGCTTTGATTATGAGGCAATGAAACCCAGTATCTAGCAGATCTGTGTTACAGAAAGATGATTTCCTGACTTGATTGCTATTAATTTCCTAATCGAACTTCTCTCATTTTATGCTCAGTATTAAATTTATTATTTAATTAAAAATTAGAAAGTTTACAAATTTCAAATGCCTTTTATTTTGTATAGCTCAAAAACCAGTGTCTGTTTTCTACGTGCAATATAATTGTGGAAGAAGGAAAGAGAAGCACAGAAAGATTTATTCTGTCTCATGATTTGCAACGTGATGATGAAGCTTTGAACATGGAACCGACAGTAAATGTCAAGCCTCAGATTGCTTGCTTAAACGAAAAAAACCCAATATTTTCAGTGGCTAAGGCCAATATTTAGTCAGGTACAGGTGAGGTATTGCTGTCAAATTTTCAGTAAAATAAATGTATTATGTAATTGTTACTTTGTTATTCAGGTTGGCCCATGACCAAACACAAAAGTTAAAAATTAACATTTCCATTTGGGCTTGATTCTAATGTTACATTTACTTAACATCACTAGAACTTGTGTTCCTCTGCCTATCAATTATTATGCAATGTGAATTTCAATTATTGGGCTGAATCCTAATTGCATTTCCTATTGTGTAAAGGACAAGTAATTTCACTGGAAAACAGTTTAAGAAGAATGCATCTGAGAATAGGACAGGAACTAAACTATCAGCCTTTCCTTTGAATTTTGTGAAATACATGACTTCATGCCATTATGCCAGTTGTTCTTGAAAATACTTTTTTTTGTCAGATTTAACATCACAAGAATGTAGGCTAGGGAAAAAAAAACACATCAAAACTGTAGCAGGCTACAGATTTTAGGTTCAGAAATACATATTGTTGTAATAGCTGCACAGAAAAACACTTCTTCAGGTGGACATTTATATGCATGATTCTGACATTGCATTCATATGCATAACTATTGTGTAGCACCTGCAGTAGCCACCTTTTCTGATGAAGTAGCCCTGCTAAATATCTGATACATGAAACGGTGAAATAGTTTCTGAACTGTCCCATTTTTAACTCTAGTTTGTGAGATGGTGTTATTTCTTATACTTGATGGTTATGTTTTCAGTCCCATTTTTTTACAGTTTCAAATAAACTTTCTTTTTTCTAAAGCTTATTTAGAGGCAATGTTAAGAAAGAGGAGAATAACAATTCTCTTCTTATTTTACCAAAGTGCCATCTTTCCAGTGATCTGTGTTTGCAGTGAAATACTAGCAATTCTCATCTCGCTTTGCCTTTTCCTAAGGATCTGTTGCCTGTCTCTGCTCGGCTCCACTCTTCCCATACTGCTCTCTCATAATGGAAGAGTTGCCAGTTCCTTAGTGTCGGCAGCATCTGTTCCCTTCACTGTGAACCGATTGACTGCCTGACTCACCATCTTACCCAGGTCACGTTTATTTCAGGGAGAAGTTAGAGAATAAATAGTCTTCAAATAAGTGAAAAAGAGTCATCACAGCCTTTATTGTCTTTTTGCTATTTCAGGTTAGTTTGGATTCACTTTTTACAGTCTTTTTATGGTTTACCAGTAGGATAGTATTTGTATTTGCACTCCATCAGTTGAAGCTTTTTCATTTTAAAGGCAGCCATGGAGTATTGGCTGCGTGTCTGGTGAAATTGTCATTTCTGACCTACTTTTGGCCTAGGTTTTGAATTCGAATGGCAACAGCCTGAGCAAGCTGCAGGACATTTCTAGACTTAAAAACACTTCAAAAGCTTATCATCAGTTTTAATGAATTTGCTTCCTTAAATATTTATGACCTAGTGAGAAATTAAGCTCTAATTTTTTTTTTTTTTAAGGAACATTTACTAGCATAAATATTCTTGCATTGTGAGGTATGCTCACAAGACAGGATTGGGCCAGGATGCACAGAGGGGAACAGAATGGGGGACTAAACTAGAATCATGAATACTGTGATACTATTAGCAGCCCACAGTTTCGGTGCCTGTTGATATTGGCTCCAATTTGAATTGCAATATTACAGTGATACCACTTTATCACCCATCTGACCTTTATAATGGTCATTTCATTTTAACAAATAGAAATAGAGTTAATAGATACTCTATTAACAAATAGAGTAACATGTCTGGAGCACGCTAGGTCTCCCTCAACAGACCCAATACTAAGCAAGGGGAATCCCAGGCACTGGATCCAATTAAGTCTATTTAAAGATTAAATGTGTCTGATTACTTTAACCAAAGTTTCCTTTGCAACACTTTTGGCCATACAACTATTTTCTTGCAGCCCAAAAGAGAATATTTTGATGCAAGCCATAACCATGTGATCACACTTGAGGGCATTAGAGGCTTACGCAAACTGCAGTTCTTCAACCTGAGCTGGAACCAGCTGAAAAAGTCCAGGGAAGATATAAACATCTTACATAAAAACACTCCCAACTTAGTCTTGACATCACACACAACCCATGGCATAAGGTACATATCAGCGCTTGAAATTCCTGGGAAAGCATTCTAACTATGACCACAGTTATAAAGGCTTAAAATCTCGTCCTGCACCTTATTAATTCTAAGGCCCTTGCAATGTAAGAAGCCTTATGATCATGTTATGGCATCTTTGTTCTCACAGGGCCTTCACTTCTTTCTGTAGTCACAGCCTAACCAAGTGAATAAACTGTGTGGCATTTTTGCTCAGAGACATCTCTGAGGCATAATTCCTTTCTTTTTTGCTTCCCTTGAGAATTAAATTTATTGGTGGCCTGTGCCCGATATCAAAAACCAAGCCCTGGCTTTAATTTGTCTGTTTCAGCTGCACTGAATAAGGGGTGGGAGCAGAGACAGTTCCTAGCTTTGGGGATGTGCGTATACACTGTTAGTCTCTCTGTTAGTGCATGTATCTGTCTGCGGCAGCACAGCTGTGTTGGCTGGAGCTTTGGCGAGAAAGCCAATACTCAGCCCTTTTACTGACTCTCATTCATTCCTATTGCCCAACCAGCTTCTGCAGCAAATGTTTCTCTCTGTTCTTTATTCCCTTTGAATCAGTACATTTTAACAATATTTAAAGGGCTCAGTCAGAATCAGCAGAGTTAAACCTTACGAATTTGAGGCATTAAAAGACTCTTAAAAAAGCTTTTTTAATTATCATTTAACACTGAGTTTAATATTTTGTACAAGTCAAAGTCAGGCAAACAGAGCACTATCTGAATAGAATACCTCTCTTAAATGATTTGAACAACAAACCAACACAGGAAACAGAACTCCATTGAGGCACCCAGGAAGCATCCAAAAAGATACTGCCTTGTCTATTTGGCCTGTCAATTAAGCTTCAATGAATCTTTTCAATACATGCTAAGATATAAAAAGAAATAATAAGAGCTACCGGTTCCGGTCTCTGGTTCTTTGTTGTTATTACTTAAGTTTTTATCAGATTAAACTTTTAATTTTGCTGTGCTCTTTGCCATCAGCTGTGTGTGTCAACATGGTAACTCTTGAGTAGTACACATCACTAAACCTGTGCCTCTCCAGAGTTTCTTAGGCATCCAACCACAATGTCTAGTTACTCCAGTTCAGAGCAAAGCAGAAAATCCTTACTGCCTCTCACAGGATGTTCTACCACCTAGCTCATAAGTGATTGCATTTTGCTTATTTGGCTGTCAAAATATATCTATAATCCATTCACAAACAAAGACATTATTCTTCATTATGTGAGAAGTGTGTATTTCATGTATTATATTTTAAACTAGTGGGCAGTCTAACATATTCTGTATGTATAGGATAGGTTTGCGGTGATGTCTTGAGGTTTCGGTGAGAACTCTAAATCCTTTAAACATTTCGCACGTGTCCTATGAAGCTTTCTTTGGTTTTTGTAATATTTCTAGGTCATAAATGAAACTCCTAGATTATAAAAACAAATACCACTACATCTGATATATTAGTGAGCTTCGTAAGATCAGTAAACTTCTGAGTTAGCCCATGTGACTCCAGAGCAGTTTATTACCATCAATGTCACATAAAATCAGGACAATCAAAACTGGCCCAAAGGTACCTTGTCTCATGTGTTTCTAGCAAACTACGTAAGCGGGGATGACACAGTGGCTCTGTTGAAGATCACAGCAAAGCTCTAGCTCTTGGCATCCATGAGATGACAGTGCACTAAACAGAAAGGAAATTCAAGTCTCTTTCTTGTATGTAAACTATATTGGCAATTAAAAAAAAACCTGTAACACTTTATTCCTTTCTTCAAGCCTGCCTCATTGCAGCTGAGTGTCATTGGCCAATTAAAGGCTCTCACTAACATAGATGGAGTCCTGATTTCTAATGAAGAAGCTGCAAATTCATTACGATACATTGCAGGATCAAAGATGGCCCAGGTTTGATGTTCTGTTTTGTTGTAACTTATAGTGAGTGCTATGGAAAAGGAAAGCTTTAGGAACAGTTCTGCACCTGTTTTTTTAAAGAGTATTTTGTTTGCTGTTTTTTGTGAAGGTAGAAGTTTTGTCCTTGCCTCTGGCAGTAGGTCAGAAATTATTTAATAAACACCAATCTTACAAAGATCTTTGCTGGTACCAAAAATTATATTCTAGCATGATCTTGGAAACAGTCATGTTCAAGTTCTGCTGAATTCAGAATGCAAGAAAGTAACTATGTTTGCCAAATAGAAACAATGGAGAGGAAAATAACAGGATAAACCAATAGTTCTACATGCTTTTTTAAGTATCTAGTGCCAAATCCCTTGTCTTAAGGTCTTTTCAGTAGGTAATCTTTCAGAGTATTTTATATGCAGATATGAAGCAATCCTTCCCAGCCCCTGAGCACAAACTTGTTCTACTTAAGCTCTGGACTATATCCCAAAGCACTCCTGAATCCTATGCTGATTCTAAGCTAACACACTCAATGGGCTGAATAGGTTGGAACTCACTATCATGCTAACACAACTTCTGTATGGTCACAGCGCAGTCACAAGGAAACTACGTCTGCTCAGTGCTGAGTAAGATCATGTCTTTCTGCAAAAAATGGATAAATATCTTCACAGAAAACAGACTATAGTTAATACAGAGCATTTTAATGAGGTTTACCTTCTCTGTTTTATGTACTGAAAACTTTAAAAACTGGATCTGTGCAAGATCTGTGGAAGTCTTGCAAACTATTAAACTTATTAGATCTATGAATTATTATGTCTACTAATATATCACCTTCCCCTTCCAAGAATAGCAGGATTTTTATGCCATTTACTATATGCTAAGCTGTGAAGTATGTATAGTATATCTAGTTATATTATATACTTAATACAGTATTTTCTTTTTTTTTTCCTCAGGTGTTTCTGTTAGAATGTTCTAGGACTGATGAAGAAAAAACTCTCAGTGTATTTCCTTGCACTAAAATTCTGTCTCAAATTTTGAAGAACAAGGTGGATTCGCAGATGCATTGTAATAACTGGTATTCAATGGTAGAGCTGATGCTGTTTAATGTATTTAGGTTAACATTTAGATTAATCTCTGTAAAAGTTTTCTTCTGTTGTCTTAGGTTAAAGGTTTTATGCTTTTTGGTTAAAAAATATTTCTGAACACATTCAAGTCTAACCAATAGTTACCTTGTCCCTGAGCTCTGAGAATGGCCATTTCCAGATGCCTCGCAGGAGGTCCAGGATACCCTGAAGAGGGCATTTAAGTTACTTATTTTGCAGCGCAACTGTCTTTTTAGCATTACTAGATTTTTAAGATGAAGGGGTACTAATAAGATTCTCTAGACTGACTTTATGCATAAGTGGGCAAGAAAGCATTATGTGGTAATTTCTACATCAATTTCATACCAGATTTTACAGTAAACCATTCAGATTAGGATTAATTTCACCTAACTTTGCTTATCTACACTGTAGATAACCACATTTGAAATAGTCACCCTACATTCCTTTTATAGACAGTGCAGACACAAAAATAGTTTGGGGACATAAGTCACCTAACAGTTTAGAGGGTTATTGTATGTTGAAGTGAATTGCATCCTACCAGAGAGCCCAACCAGCCACCACAGCTGGAGATATCTCTCTTGCTGACGTTGTTTGCTGGTATGAAACCCACTCTTAGTGTTCATTTAAAGATTTCAAGCAACAGTGAATCTACCTTTCCTATCTCTCTGTCATGTCTATCTTGTTTCTAATACATATTGGCTACTATCAAATTTAATCCACTGGGTCTCCTTTTGTCTCTTTCTGGTGAAACCAGATGTTCTAAAGGACCAGAAGTCTTTTCCTTATTTAGCCAAAATCATCCCACTTTATCTTATCTTAAAGAAACTAAGTTAGGTGAAACTTCTTAAGCGTCTCATTATAAAGTGTTTTTTTATTTCTTGTAACATTATTCTAGTTCCTTTCTGAACATGTTTCATTATGTCCACATGTTTTTTTCTGTACGGCCTCCTACAAAACTATACCGAAACTTCCAGCACTGGACTGATAAATGTCATACCCAGAAATAGTTACCTTTGCCTAATCCTACTCACTAGTCCAATGTTTAAATATTAACTGACATGTGTGTCCTTGTGGCAACAGTGCAAGCTCATATTCATATAGTTTTCAATCATTAGTTCTAGTCCTTTTCAGTGTTCCTAAGATACTGTCTTTCATCGTGTGAGTGTGAATGTCTCTGTTCCTAACTACATAAATTACAATTTGTTCTATGCAGAAGCATGCTTTTTAAATAGGGCCACCATGTTAGTCATTATAAAACTGTTGTTTATAGCTGACCTTACTAACATCTTTATGTCATCTCCTAATTTACCAGGAAGGGACTCCTGTTCTTTTTTGCTAGGAGAAAAAGAATTTTGAGCAGAACATCAATAAAAATCCTCTGTAAAGTGACGATTTTCTTTCTATAGTTAGATTTTGAGATCCATCCTCTAACCAGTTTTTGTCTATTTAACAAGAGTTGCCTTCACTTTTGGATATCATTATTTTTGTATTGCATTCTCAGACAGAAGTTTTAATCTTATCAATATATTTAAATTTTCATCAAAAGCAATTTAATATTAATTTTTGTTTCCTATGCACCATACTGGCATCTATTAATAAGGCTGTTAACTTGTAATTATTTCCTGTGCTGCATATCAGCCTTTCTGTGATACCTAAGGATGATATCAAGCTAACTGACCTATTCTGCTCATCCTATTTATCCTCAATACTATTATAACTTCAGTTTGTTCATAACCTTCTAGAACTTCCCAAGCATACTATCATTTGTATAAAATGAATTGATGAGTGGCTCAGAAAGTTCTTCAACTGGTTCATTAATATTCTTGATTGAAAAATGCCTGCTTTAAAAATGTTAACATGAGTAGTTCCAGTTTTAGATTCTTTTTAGTTATTAACGAAATACAAAGTATTTTTTTATCCATGTAAATGATGAGCATCTCATCATGGTTCTTCCCAAAGGCAGAGAAAAATACGCATTGAAACTATCTTTCTCTTCTGTATTCTGATTGACTATTTTAAAATCCTTAGATAGGATCAAGCCTATAGCATTGCTTGAATTTCATTAAGTCCTGATTATGATCTCTGATTATATTAGCCATCAAACTTTCATTGACACTTTTAGCTTTCATTTTCAGTAATCCACGCTTCTAACAACTGTTTTATTCTGCTGTCATTTTTCCTATTTTTCATTCAGTTCTGCTGTAGTGGAATAAAAGGGCCATGGCCTGATCCAGTAGGGCTCATGAATATTTACTTTAGTCTGTAAACTTAAAAGGGTGAAGATTTTTTAAACTGTAAACGAAAAAGTGTGTAATAATGAAGTGTTTAGTGTTTAACCTTCTGCGTCTTTAAACCTCTCCTAACTAGCCTTCACATTTTTTAGCTTAAGTTTTTGTGTCACTCATTTCACTCATGACTGCTTTCAGCATGTGAAAATTGCCCTTTTTAAAACACCAAGGCTATATAAAGGACGTGCTTCTATGAGATACGCCTGCTTGTTTTTTTAAAGAATTGCCTCCTCTAAGGCAAGACAGTCCTTAATCTACTTGCTTCCTTTAAGGATTCCAGGAATTCCAAATGCTGTGGAAGTATTTCAAAGGAGAGTGTCAGTGAAGCTTCAAGAATATTGAGCAAATTTTTAAAGACCAAGGACACTGGTGGCAAGGATAATGAGAGAACCAGACTGATTCAGGAAATTGTAACCAGCTCCTTTGCATTCTCTCCCTGATCAGTAGAGATTGGCCTTGAGAATTTTTCATTAGAAAATTCAGTAGCTGTGCTTAGCTTATTTATTCTGCCAGTTTTGAACCCAACTTTTTTCTGATGTCACAAAAGTATAATGTTGAAACAAGTTGAAACATTAGTTCTCCTAGTAAATTCTATAAACATAAATTCTCTAATGCATATAGCAACAGTTTTCTAATACTGACCCTTCAAATATACCCTGCCCTAAAATTTAAAGGCTTAGGCATATTTCATGTCTAAAGCCAAATGAGCTTTGCCATGTGCATATTGAACTCTCTATACTAATCCATTTCTTGGGATCAGGCAGGATTAAAACTTTCACAGAGTACTACTAAATAACAATATGAAAAACAGATTGCAAGAAGAGAGCTAGTAGGTCTAATTTCAAACCAGCAAACGTTGAGAATAACTCTTTGAACATTATCTCTCACCTTGAAAGACTACCTAAAATTATAAACTAATTAAGCAGTCACTTGATGAGCGGCAGGACTGAAGGAAATTGGTTTGCCTTAAGAAAGACCCTTGTCTTTGGGTTATCCAGTGCCTAATCAGGTGTGAGTTCTCAGAGTTTCTCAGATCATTCAGAACAGGTCTCTCCTGGATCCTCTAGTGTCTGGCATTGTAGCTGAGCCAGTATTTCAGCCTTTCCTTCACTGGGATTGTCAGTTTATAACTCTCATCCAGCCGCTCATTTTCATGGAATTTGTAGGAAGTCAAGTAGTGCTTGTCTGGCAAATTGGGCCAAAACTCACCAATGCATTTAAAAACTAGTGGTAAGGCTAGCAGATGGATATACAGATAGCACAATCACATTAGCCTTGTTTACTTAGGAAACCGAGCTAGCAAAAAGCTGCAAGAGTCAGTGGGGGAAGATCCAAGGTCATCCTAACCTGTTCTGATCCATCAGCTGAAATCATGTTAATCTACCCAGTATGAAAGGTTAAAAGCTCCTCTGTCAGTTCAATTTGTTATTAGAATATAGAATAGCTAGAGGAAAACACATTTCTGCTGATAAGCGTAGCATTTCATTCTGTGTGCATTAGGGAATTCATGTTTAGAAAAATTGCCAGGAAAATTAAGGCTTTCGCATATGTCATATATGTTTTGTGACATCAGAGAGAAGGGATTCATAAAGGGTAGGATAAATACTTTGGAAAATAAAATAACATAGCCAAAAAATGTTCTTTAGTCATCACCAAAGCCAGTCTAATGATACTGAATATTTAAGTGATTATTTGTCTTAGATACAACCTAGATACAATACTGGATATTTTGGGCCTCTACAACACAATTTGAATTTTTTGATTGGGACTCTGTGATCTTTTCTTTTCTCCATTGTACAATGATTTGCTAACATACTGTAGTTTTATCGGAAAGGGGGAGGCATAGTCATGCAAACAGATTATAGATAGGAACACTGACAGCCTTGTCTTTACAGGAAGCTTGCTGCCAGGTGTCTGACGTCAGATCCTGTGTAAGAAAGTGGTTTCACAACCTGGGCAGCAAAATATATGTTTGGTATCGACATTTATTTGTTTCTGTCCAAGAATATTTCAATCAAGAAAATTACTGGATTTGTTGATTTATGACACAGAGAAAAGAGTACTTAGTTTGTATATAAAAAGCATGAAGAACTCTAAAGTTAGGACAAATTCTGCTCTGACTTTGCACTCAGCCTCTTCTAGACTAAATATCCAGCCTTGGTGTTAGGCTGAAATCCTGTTTCCATTGAAGTCCTGTTGTAGAATGAGGATGTGTAAAGCAAACTAGCCAATAAAATAATCATTGGATTTAAATTGAACAAAAGCAGAAGGATTTAAATTGAACAAAACTAAGATCTAATGCAGACAAGAAAAAAATGTCTATGTTCAGATAGCTTCAACTGCAAAGGTACATTTGGGAGCTGGCATACTTAAGTTGTAGAGTTCTTGTTTTTGGAGGAGAAGCTGAACTTTTTTGAAATGTATTAAAGATGAGTAGCCCTGTTGCATAATGGGGAAATATCACATCCTGCATCCAAGAAGTTGCCACTGATATTAGTAGGAAATGTACACATAGAAACTGAGCACAGAATAAATAGGTGGAATTAATTTACAGATTAATTGACAGGTCGGTTTCTTTCAATTCTAATACTGTCTTTTATTACAGATCACTGTCTTAAATCTGGATGACCAACACTCTTCAAAATTTCTAACTTGGAAAAATTGGAGCATTTAAGATGGGCATCATTTAGCAACAACAATCTCACACTAATAGAAGGAATAGAGTCTTGTCTTAACCTCAAAGAACTCACTTCAGATAAAAACTACATTTCAACACTAGATGGTACTATATTTACCGTGGCCGTGATAATGCAGGCTGTTAAGCAGGGACACAGTAGAAATGTTTCTTTATAGTGAAATATTATAGAGGGTGAGTTTTTACTCGCTGCCAACAGAGTGAGTTTTTAAAACATTAAAAAATCTGAGTGTATCTTTAGCAGAACTGAAGAAAGGGAGTGAGGCAGAACAGTTACGTTCCAGCAAAATAAGTATGTCTTATTAAAATGTGCATATTTATCTATGTTTAATGATCTAATAAATTGCCAATGATCTAATTAAATTATCAATTGATCATTGTATCAATGATCATTGATATAGTTACAGTTGGACCCTGTAACATAAACTGTGTCACTTGTAACTTGTTTTACCTTCTGTATCAGCCACCTTTTTCTATTACAGCTCACTTTATACCAAGTGCATCTTGTTCATTTTTCAAGGAATTTCAAAGCTCACCAAACTTACAAGACATAGTGTAAATAATAACCATCTTATCAGCCTCAAAAGACATGTGTTTGAAAATCTGTCTTATCCTCATTACATTTCCATTGAGAATAACAGAATCACGTCTTTAGTTGGTTTAAAGAAAACTTACTCCCTAACAGAGCTATACGTAAGTAATAACTTTGTTTATACCAACCAAGAGACACATCATTTAAAGGTAAATATTTACTATTTCAAAATTAATTTGTTTTTCATTACATTAGAAATACAGTGTTTCCCCACTTGTTCAAGTGTAGAGAAAGCTATACTTAAACATAATTGGAGGTTCTGCCTGTGAGCGCTGCATTCGTCCATCTTTACAGTGGAACCCGAACTGATGAGAACCCCAGTCTAACATTTTTTGATTGATACTCACTCCTGAGAAGGAGGTACTGAACCCTTCAGGTGGATTGGGCTCAAAATGTTCTGCAGGGATAAACATCACTTATTCCAGGTAGGCTAAATCAAGGTTTACAATCCATGGAATAATTCTGCAAGTCATGTCAAATAACAAACAATTACACCTGCAGCAGTTCCAGTTCTTTTCAGCTAACCTGGCATGCTAATGTATGTATTATAAACGTTGTTGGCTGGATTCAGACACTAATTGGAGACTGAGGCCCTGATTCTTATTTATGTTCAGACTCTGTAAAACTGTGTGAGAGCACAAAGGCTTTTAAGGCAATGTCGGTATAGTTTTCACTCACTTTAAGGGCTTTCTTTGTGGCTTGAGTGTTGAAAAGTGCTATTAATCTAAATGAAGATATCTGGATTTTGTTAAGTGGTTTCTCAGTTTTGAGTCATGCAGATGACGGCTGAAGAAGGAGCTGAGAACAAAGTAGTCTGAATGCACCTATATATGGATGTTCTAAAGTTATATTAATAAACCCGTGCTTTTTTCTACTTAGGGTTTAACTAATCTGATAATTTTGGACATGAGTAGAAATTGAATAGTCTGGAAACAAGATCACTACCGACTATTTGTATTATTCCATCTTCCTTCTCTCAAAGCCTTAGACGGCATCGCAGTAGTACGTTATTCTGTATGCAGATTATTACTATAACTTTTTTTAAAATAGTTCTTTAAAAAATCAAGACCCAGCTGATCAGACTTGTTAATATGTGTGTAATCTTTTCATATACTCTATAATACTCCATTGTCTGTTCTTGTCTCTCTTTAGTCATTTTGGGGTAGAAATTGCCTTTTTTTGTAATAGTACCTAGCACAATAGTGTCCTGGCACATTGCTAGGGTTCCCGAGGCTTTAACTATAATTTTGGAGCTTAATCATTTCTAACACCTATGAAATTAGTGTACATTACTTACAAATCTGTATTGTAAACTGAGAGAACATGGACTATCTCCATTAATCTGTTCCGTAAGAAAACAGTCATCCAGGTCTGCTCATATAAAGACAAAATAACACTTTTTAAATTACTTTGATTTTAAACATTTTTAATTCATTGAATTGTAAAATGTTTTTCTGTCTATATTACTATGATAGTTCTAGACCTGCATTAATATAGCTGACATCACTTCAAAAGCATTTAACAGGAGCCAACAGAAGGAGAAAGTGCAAAAGATTTGTTTGGAGGCAAACTCACTCACCTCTGACATGATTGCAGATAGACTGGGACATTCAGACTTCACAGAAATGCAAGAATTAAATTGGACAGCTTCTAATATCAGGTGCAGTGATTTTCAGAATTGCATTATCTATTAAAAGTAGCATCTAATATTGTGGATAGAACGTGAAAATCTAAAGCTAGAATCCGTATTTAGCAAACATGCCTGATAATTCCCTAGCATTTGTCAGCCAAATTCCCTTGACTGATCCATAAAATAAGTTTCATTTTTCATCACAAAGGGTTATTTTCCACAGTTTCATTGAAGAAATATTCTTTCTCTAGATGCTTCCATTCTTCATTTAGGGAGTGGTGCTGCCTGCACACAGTTTGACAGAAAATGTCTGGCTCCAGACCAAGTATATCTAGAAGAGAGATTTTATTTGATCAAAACCCATCTGATCTGATTCCTTTCAGAACAAATTTGGCCAAAGTGAGAACAGACATGTATGTGTGTGCAGTGCTGCTTCTGCAATCTTTTGATTTCTGAAAAAGCTGCCTTGTCCACTGTAGATCTACAGGAATTTAGAGCAAGAATGACCTGTGATTGGTTGCATTAAGTGCATCCTTAACTGAACACTAGTATGTGCACCCAGTGGGACACTCACTGTTCTGCCACAAAAGTATTTTACACAGCACTTGTCATACTTGTTTGCAGACATCACCCCCGATATTAATCTTTAGGAAAGCATTTCTACAGGTTGTATGTATGTATGTGTCTTCTTAGAGACATATTTATATTTTATCCTTTCCCAGTATCCTGCATCTGTCAGTTAAAGTCCCTACCTGATGTAACATATGAAGACAATTTTCATGGCACAGTCCATGATCTTCATCTTTTGATCTTAAATAGCCTAGAAGGCCTTCAGCAACAGTATCACCGTGACAGGAATATCAGTGTCAATACTCTGGTGAAATTGAGTAGGTGTTGCTCATAAAGAAATTGTAACTCCTTTTAGTTTGACTCAGTTTCAAGAGACTGCTTTAAGACATGAGGACAGATACAAGTATTTAAACATTCTTGTCGGGATTATTTTCTGCAAGGACATTCATTCCCTGGAGGCTTTGTTGCAAAAGGTTGTAGAACAACAGTATAACACTGACTATGTGTCTTTTAAGGTATTACAATTGCAAGCCTTGAATTTCTTGAAGAGATGTGTCAGCAGCACAGTTACGAATTCCTAAAAATTACTTGAGGAATGTCTCTCTGACCAAAAGAGCATCCTGCTTCTACCATTAAGAAGTAACAAGTACCTTGCAAGCAGGCTTTGACACAGCTGAGGTACACAATTACAATCTGTGTGCTGCTTTGGCAGGCCTCAGAGTAAGTTGAGAATGGAATACTCCATCTGAGCACTTGCAGCTCCAGTGCTGCTGGAAAGCAATGAAAACAGCCTAAGAGGTACAGAACTGGAATTTCAGTAATGTGATATAGAAGCAAACAGAGCAGATTGTTGAAAGCCCTTGCCTTTGGTGTCAGAATCAAATCAACTGTTTACTACTGGAAAAAGAACTGTGAATTTGTTGTGAGATTTTCATTAGGGTGTTTCTTTCATAGGAGCATGTTGCATTTCTTACCCCAAAGCCAGCATGTTATGGATCTGCTCATGCTATATATCTCATTTCTATATTATTTTTCTATGCGACTTGTATTCTAAACCTATATTTGTCCTTTTTTACCTAATTCAGCGCTGTAGAGCTGGTGCTAGCAGACCAGTTTAGAAATGCCTGTGGCATGAATTTACAGAACAATAATCTCGTGTCTTTCAGTGGTTTAATCTTCCTTCCTAATGCCAAGGTGGGTTCATGACAGGGTCTTTTCCATTTTTTGTAATAATATTAATGATAAACTAATTTCCTTTGGTTGAAAATAGGGTCTTTAATCTCCTTTAATATCCTGTTGTTCGTGGGGTTTTGGAACAACAGCAATCAATCAGCACAAAGCTGATAGCAACCACTGTTTCAATTTTACAGTATTGTTGCAGTAATCTGATCCAAAAATCAATGAATTTCACCAAACTTTTTGAAGCACTTTAAACTGACCGATCATCTTTCTAAAGATCAAATTTCTGAATCACAAAAATGTAATTGGCAGTTTTGCTGATGTGTTAGCAGAGAAACATTCTGTTTGATTAAATATGTTTCCTTTTTACAGGTATGGTGTCTGAACTACAGTCATATTGAATCAATACTGCCTGGACAAAAACTCCCAAATCAGGCAACAAATAGGCAGCAGCCGTACGGAAACCTGGCCTCTCATGGCTGTGGACAGGAAGGACTTGCCAAAGAAAGCAAGTACCATCGGCTTTTAAAATATACTTTTATCTCTCCTTTACTCCGCTGAGGAGGAAGGAGGTGTCTTCAGTGTCAGTAGCTTTGGATCTCCCTTTTTTTCCCCTCCTAGCTTGAAGAAACCCAGTACATTTTGTTTGTTTGTTTTGCACACATATGATATGTTTGGCTTCATCTAGTTGGCTTTTCTTTCCTAAGTTCTTTGTGAACAACTTGAAGGCCATTTCTTCATCAAACTAACTATACCAGGCTGCTGTCATCTGTTCTTTGGATCGTATCACATAGGTGGTTAGGCATACGTTAAATCCTACAAAGGATTTCATTTTGAGTAAGGGAACCACCTACCTCTCTCTGGCTGCTGGTTTGATCTGGGAGAGCGTGGACATGTCTCTCTGATCAGACTGATCATTGATATTCTGTTTTCATTCTTTACTTACATTTGTACAACATTACACTACAAAATTTTAGGAATATATTCAGATAGTGAGGAATGTATTGAGATAGTATTTCAGTCCCTTGAGCCTGACCTGTGAAAATTCAGCTGTCTTACACTGTATAGTATTCTGATGGCACTCACAACCCCTTGTTAGAATCAATGAGTTCAGCCAGTTCAGACTACAGTACCTTTTAGGGGCATAAAGAAGGCTTTTGTGTATTCATCCAAAGTTCTTCTGCAATGTTGTGTGTAGTCTAAGCAGTCATTCATCCTGCCATTAAATCTCCTTTCCTTTGCTCATTTCATAAGTGATATTCTTTTCATCATCCTCTGAAGGAGGTGGTCATACTTCTTTCTTCTTCCTTTTGCCATCAACATTAGATCAGCCTGTGTCCTAAAGAGCATTTTCAAATTACCTTTCAGTTTGCATTTCTCATCTGTGCATTCTTTCAGGACTGAAACTTCCGGGACCTGTCAGGATTCATTTACTTATTTCTGCGTGGATAAGGCAACATCCATAGTCAAATTCGGTTCTATCATATCAGACAAGACTTGCAAAGTCACCATGCAGAGTTCCCTCTATGCATTGGTCAAGTTTTATAAAATTAACAGTGACAGAGCATCAGAGAATCCTGCAAAACCTAGTTGTTGTGCACATACTCCTCAAGGCTTCACCCAGCTCATCTTTTCTTCATTCTTTGCATATGCTCAGCATCTGGAGTATGGGAAAAACACGAATTTGTTTTCAGATTTTCTGGGGAAAAGGGATATTGGCAGAAGCACACACGGATATGGGCTGTTTGGGCTTCCATCATAGTGTGACAAATTTCTGCGCTCATTTTGCTTATCTGCTTCCTCATGAGAGGTGAACATTCTTTATACGGACTGGGGCCTCAAAAAGGACTTGAAATAATTCTTCAGTAACTGTAGGAATGTCCCTCTTGTTGATGGGAGGGATTTTTTTACTCTAATGCCTTCTAGTTTCCTCCCCTTTCGCTTTTTGCAGGCCACTGAAACTTGGCCTGCAAGTCCCAAACTTAGTGCAAGTCAACATCAATATTCCATGATGTTTCTCAGCCAGCTTTTTCAAAAGTGACTTACTCAGAGTCACTGATATAAACATGTCAGATTCTAGCTCAGTAGCTGCTACTTAACAACCTTTAAGTCAACACTGGAATGGAAATTATTTCATTATTCCTGTGTGATATGAATAACACTGCCCTTTTTTTCCCCACAAACGCAACACAAAAGTATTTAGTGAACAACTATGCTTCATTTCAGGTTTATTGATACTTCTACCATCTTCAGCTAGTAATGATCCAATACCATTGTCGGGATTACTTTTGTTATTGATATATTTTCAAACTCTTTCTTACTGTTCTTAATGCTACAAGCCATTGATGTCCCCTTATGTTCATTTGCTCTTTTCATCAATTTTTTGCACGTTTTTACTTCTTACTGTCAATTTCTTTATTTTTCCATTTATTATGGCTGCTTTTAATTTCCCATTAAGTGGATACTCTTTTTTTAATGACTGTTGCCTTCTTTCTCAATTGTGAGATATCCTAGGAACAAAAATGTTCTTAAACATTCCCCAGATCCTCTTGACACTTTCTTTGGAAGTTGAATTAGCGCTTAATTTTTGTAGCCTTGTGAGATAAGCCTGTGTAAAGCATAAAATATACATATTACATCTCATCACAAATTAATATTACATATTCACATACAGTTTGGATATTGTTTTGTTTGTGATGTGTGAATGTAATCAAATCACTAGCTGCTCAGCAATCACCAATATTTACTGTTTTTATGGAAGTTGAGGTTGCTAAGCATATTGTTTCATTAGCTGGGTCGTAAGGAAGAAGCAAAGCTAAAATTAGAACCCTTTTTTCCCTTCTCTTTCTTAATCTATTAGTTAGTGCTACCTAATTACAGGTCAGACATAACAGAAATGAAGCTTTTACAAACAAATTAGTAGAACAGTGCATGTTATTTTATTTTGCCCTATTGTCATTCAGCTGTTGTGAGAATACACCCAAAAGTTGCCATAAGTATTTTAGCAAATTTAGCAGCGGTTTACAGCTGTTTTCTTTTCATGTCCTCAGACTTCTGTGAGCAGAGGAGCGGGTTTTTTTATTTGTTTGATTTCCATGGTCTGGATCCAGAAAACTTGACCTAGCTTCCACAGAACAGAAGTTTATATATGGAGTATTTCCATCTCAAAGTAGTGGATTTGTTTAATTTTTCATCAGATTTTTTTAATGTATACATATAATTCCTATGAAACCTGTTCCAGTGATAAGTGAAATTGCAGTCATCCATATATACCCTTCATAAATTTTTTTGGGGGGTGGGAAACGCTGAAGTTCTTTTGTCCAAAGAAAATTATGGCATCATACTCTTGTTTACTTTATTGGTTTAGGAATGCAGAATTTGGAGAAAACCTGCCCCTGATAATGCAGAGTTTGGAAGATTTTCATCTGGGCTGTAATGGAATTACTAACATGGCCCAGCTACGGCTTAGCAGGCTAAAAAACTTGAAACTTCTCTTTTTGCAGAGTAGGTGGTAGCAGCTTTTCTGTACATTCCTTCAAGCATTTTACAGTGCTTATTGACCCCAATAAGAATGATGTCCTAGCTTTAATCCTTGCCCTGGCTCCAAGATCCTTCAGATATTGAACAGTGAAATTCTATACCACTGTGCCTCACTTGTCTTTTACAAGACAAAGGCAGAGCAGGGTAACCAGCATGCGGAAGATATATTTGTCAGCTCATGGCCAGCAGCAAGTTCCACACTATAAGTAATACCAACGATAATGACTGACCTAAGTCTTGTTCCTCAAGATGCCCAGATTTTATTTAGGAAGATATTTTGCTTTAAATAGAGATGGCAGATAGGTAGATGAAATCAAACACAGTTATCCAGTGTCACAGAAGTGATCCAAAACAACATACAAGTAATTCAGAAAGTTCATGAGCTGCTTTTGCTTAACACAATTTTTTGCTGGAAAGGAATTAAAATCCATTAAAGATGATTCCATGCATCTACTCTTGCTATATTAAGAAACCAAATCAGCCAAATTGAAGGACTTGAAGGTCTCAAATTTCTGCAGAAGTTGCTATTGGACCATAACCACATTAAAATGATTTCACAAGGTTTCCTTGCTAGTCAGAATGGTCTTTCGACTCTTCATCTGGAGCAAAACCAAATACAAGAACTGAACAGTTTACAACCTGTGGTAAAATCACAGAAACTCCTTCTGGACTTCAACAGAATTCAAGTACAGTATGTCTTTGTTAATGCTGTAGATTCGGTGGACTAAATGTGGTGGACTGTTTTCAGACAATATTCCCATTTTCTTCTATGGATAAGCCTGAGTAAAATTACCAGTATTTTCCCCAAAATATATATACCAGTTGCAAGATTTTTGAGAACTCCTGACATACGGTGTGTTTTTTAACTTTTGGACAGGAGTCATCTGAACTAGAAAAACTTCAAGTTATTCCCAGTCTTAAGGTGCCCTCAAAACACAGAAATCCAGTGAGTATACTCATTTGCTCTGTTAAATAAACCAGATGTGTATTTTACTTTATACATTGAATATTTACTCTTCATAATCATTAAAACTATTAAGAATTTCTCCATAGCCAGGTCATTCTTCAGTATCTGCTATTATTGTTTTAAGGTTGAAAGCTTCCTAGTATGCGTGATGATCACATCGCTTCACTGTGCCTGTCTCAGTGCCATACTGTGATCAGAAGCCACTCATTCTTCAGCATACTGTTCTTCATAGTGCTGCAAGATAAATTTAAAACGTATGTGTTTGCACGAGTGTGTTGCAGCGATGGGCTGTCCTTTCAATATTCCAAAGCAGGTCAGATCTGTGAAGAAATGTCAAAGAATGTTAAAGGATTTCTGAAATACTTGATTTCATTTTTAAAATGGCTCAATAGCAATCTTTGTTGTTGTTTTGCGCATCACTCCTTGAAAAAGTCCCGAAGGGAAATTTCAGGTTTCTTTTTTTCCAGACATGCTTCTGTTTTTCAATGTAGTACTGTTGGTTTGCCTTTTTTATCCCTGGGAATAAACTATTAGAACACAGTAAAGAAGACTCTAGCCTTTCTGACTTTATGACTACATAGCTATGGGACAGAAGACAGCTAACACTTTCACACAGTAGAAGAGGCTTTCCTGGTAAGCATAAAAGGACAAGTGGAACTCAATGGGGCCAAGTGTTTGAATAAAGTTTGTAGGATCTGTTTCATGTATTTAAGTATCTTAGCAGTGCTGAGCTTTAAAGTACCATCAAACATAAATGGAAACAAAAATGTCTTTTTCATTGTTAGTTTTGAGAAAAAATGTGGCTTTCTAAATTTCAGTTGAAAATATAGTTCATACAGAATGTTTTTATAAATAGGCCCTTGAAGATTAGGTGGAAAGCCCAAGATCTAAATGCCCCTTAACTTCTTTTTACTATAAACCTGCAGTGTCTGGTCTAAAGCAACAGCTAGAAATACAGGGAAGAGACAAGTCAGGGGCATGTTGGAGCAGTAATACATATGGTGCAGTCATGCATTCTGTTTTCAGTGGTTGACTCAAAAGAATATTTTTGCTCTTAATGACATTTTTTAAACCAACTTGCAAATGGTTATACAGATTCAGAAATGAACTGGCTTCTGAAATGGATGATGAAATGGCAGGAGAATGTCAAGCAAACTGAATGTTAGTAATGGCAAGAACAGTCACGCTCTTCACAAGGAAAAAAGCCAGATTCCTCTTGGGAAATTGCTGTTCTAGGGTTTCCTTCTTTAGAATTACAGGCCTACGCTTTCTCCTGAAGGGGATCAAGGTGGTGGGCTCAGCTGTCTCCTATACAATGTGGCATTAAGAAGTACATCTCGCAGTGTATTAGTAAGCATCAGTTAGTACCCACCACTATGGTCCACACTTCAGATGATAACTTATCACCCGTCATTTTCAATAACGTTGTATATTAAAATAGAAAAAATATTGCTAGCCTTTCTGTCTGCAGCAGAGCCTGCATCTCAACACTTGGCCTTCTGTAAGGCTGTTTCCTAGTCACGTCTCTGCAGGGCGCACAGTGCACTTGAATCCTCATATGAGCTGAGGGCCATGAGAAGCTGCTGTGGTCCGGGCTAACTTGATGAGGAAGGTATAAATTTGCCCACAGCATGCCACTTTGTCAGTACAAAGTGTCAGTTATTCATGGGCACTTGAAGTTGAAAAACGTTGCTCAAAGGTATATAGTCATTTATGCACAGTTTGGATTCTGTTTCTAGGAGAGAAGCATTGGTGCAAGGTTTGGTTCAGACATTTACTGGTGTAGCTGAGATACTATCAGATTGACTTCTTGGACAAGGACCCCATTTTTGAGTTATTTTGTATTTTCTTTGCACAGGGTTCTCTCAAGAAGAACTACTGTTCATTGCTTGTGTTTTGATTGCCAGTAAATGCAGAAGAGAGGATGAGAGCTGACTACCAGCCCCTGGAACAAGTAAAGCAAATATTCAAATTCCAAGGACAATATTCACGTCATCTATAATGGGTCCCTAATGTAGTTATCATAGCATTAAAATAGATTTTAATGTAATTTAATATAATTTTTTCCTTCTAGATAGACTCTCTGAAGCAATCTCAGGTTTTGTAAAGTCAGGAAAATTAAAAGACATACTATCTGCTCCCTTTCCTCACCACAGAATTTAATGAGTGTGAGAACCTATAACAGGTTCTTTCTATCATCCTGCCAGGAAGATGCTTACTATTTGGGTGTTGCGATACCTTCATTGAGTTGCCTGTGATAGGCAATTGCAATACAAACCAGACATTTAAAAACTATAAAAGACCCACTAAAGTCTCAGGCTCATCTATCTATAGATACAGATGACACCATAGATTTTATTGTTCAGAAATGTGAAATTTACCCCCAGTAGTAACTTATACTTACCCTGAAGTTCCATGCTGCAGCAAATCCACTCATTTTTTCCAGCAGGGTTCACCCTCAGTTTATACTCCTGTGCAGTTACACAGCTTTTGGATGGTCTAGACTACAGGTAGAATGAGGTCATGGGGAGAAATTAAATTTGCAGGTGCACATTTGATGAACCAAATCCTCATACGTACCTTAAGCAGATGCACTACCAGTGTCATGCGCGTATGTCCATGTGGAACAAGAACATGCATATTCAAAAGCACCCTACTTTCACAGGGTATCTGTGTCTGATAATTTTTTATGAAAGTTTCAGAGCAACCTAATTCTCTTACCTCATAATGTTACTACATAATGTAGTATCACAGCAATGCCACATGAATGTTTAAACTGTAATTTCAAAGTGCAATATTCACCATTGTAACTTCTCTGTCCATCTTTTCTCAGTAAATGGGATTCTTGACACACCTGATTCCAATTTCTCTTCTTGCTGATAGTTACTTTCATAATTATTTTCAGCTATAATTTGATAATGCAATATCATATTGTCTTGTCTTGAAAGATACTATCTTGTCCCATCTGTATCCACTGGTAATACTTTAACACAGATAATATTCTTCATGTATTGCTTTGCCCATAAACCTGTTGCTTTGTGTTAACTCTCACTGTCCCTCCTCATCAAAGTACTTGTCTCCATCACTGTGGTTCAGTCTTGTCTATCCCCATGCTTCTTGTTGAGACTGAGGTCATCTCCTAATGCCTTGAGATGCAATTGCATACCATGAGCTGACCACTGTTACTGGGCATCAACACCCCTTTTTAACTGCCATATTTCTACCTTTGCTACTCCTTTGGTTGAGAAGGGGCTCCCTGGACAAGCTACCTTGTTGTTTTCCTCCAGACCTTGCCCTGAAATTCTCAGTGACTATGAAACCAAAAAAAAGCTTCACAACAGTTGGGCATCTGCTGTGACCATTGTCTGTCACACTGACCAATTTTCTTGTGCTCATTATTTGCTTGTGCTCACCCATCTGTCAGTCTGTCTGCATTCATTGGGTGTGCCTCGTCTCACTTTACAGTACAAATTCACTGGAACAGAGATTTTTAGTAGGATTCACTGTTAGGTATCCTAAATACAAGAATAACAATAACAACAGCAAGGAGTCAGAGAGGAGGCTAGCCCAGCACGTGTCTCCTACGAACAGAAGGTTCATTGTCTTTGTGGTTCTGTTTATCACTAAGACCCCACTCACTGAAAGAGTTTGTTGTCCCACAGCAGACCTGTGTTTTCTGTATCACAGCATGAAACTTCTCTGGAGATTTGTTTGATGAACAGAATTCTTTCCTTCCAGCTCAAAAGACTGCAGTATGTGTTTTAACCATCGATTTCCCCAGAAGGATCAATAGCGTAATGAGGAGATCTAGAGTCTGTTCCTACTTTGTGTTGTGCAAGCCAGTTCTCTCTTCATATCTCAGTTTCATATTGATGGAGCACAGAAACAGTTCTTTTACACATCTAAAACATAAGTACTAAGGATGATGAGAAGCATCAGTACGATTGGTTTTATTCTCCCATCCTCATCAACCTGTCCAGCTTTTCCTCAACCTCTTTGCTTTATAGATAAGAAGCACTACCAGTAGACACCTGCACCACAGGGTTTTTGTACTCCAATTGTCTCCTTAAATTTTTTACTGCCATGATGTGGTCACCATGCCCAACCACATCTAAACTCTTGCTGAGCTGCAAATACTACTTGCTGCACTGAATCTAACGACTTTGCTGTTATCTCATGCTTCCCACACCTACGAGTTATGTCCATATTGTATTCTTATATAAATTTCTTGGCATTAATATTTTATTATATAAATAAAGCCCTTTAGCAGGATATTAGCTTCTAGGTATTACCAGAATAAATGCTATTATTTGATACTGATATTAGTGGTATCTTCACTGTTTTGCCAAATCTCAGTCTTCACATTGATAGTAGGTCACTGCCGAAACCAGATAGGTTAAAATCCACGTACACTTGGGTTCTGTCTCAGAACTTCATCTGTCAAAAACGAGTTATCACAGATCCCTGTCTGGCTACATTAATATCTCTCTTTGCAGACTCGGGACCTTAGTAAATTAGTGAACCACATTTTCCCACTTGAAGCCACAATGCTTGTATACAGAGTTTAAAGCACTTTTGGATTGAGTAATTTCATGTGTAAATGTTTTATTTCAAAACTGACCTGTGCTGTTATTCATTGGACATCACTTAAATAAAAACATGGCAGAATGAGTAAAGCAATAGAAGCATGTTAAGTCTGTATCTTTAGAGAAATCTCTGTTTTATATTCAGGTTCAGTGAAGATGTTATACCTCATTACCTACAACAGAACTGAGCCATTTTCTCATTAGATCATTCAAGTGGAACAACACAAAAGATTTTTCAAGTTTGTCAGTTGCATTTTAGTTGTGCTTTTTAAAGTGCTTGTTAGAAAGCAAGAATTGAAACCGTATGGTGGTGTTTAAGCTTAAAAAGTGCTTTTGATCTTAAGCTTCAAAAGAGATTTTCCCAGCAGAAAGTAGGCTAGCACTTTATTTAGTAGGTTGACACCAGAACACTGTACATAATAATATTTTCTTTTTTCAGTCTACTGATTAAATCTCTTTTAACGTTGTCACTGCTGAATTAGATCATTTACAGGACACAATCACTGTTATCATTGTACCGTACCCAGTTTTCACAAAATTAACAAATCAGCACAGACTGGCACACAGCCTTAAATCAGTTGCTACAAGACGTGGTGGTCACAAAGTGAGACTTATGAACTACTAAGTATTTAAAAATATTATAAAGATCCTTCCAAAGCTGAATTTTTATCAGACCCGTGCCAGCCATTCCCTGTAATGGGTTTACATTTGAAAATGTATTGTTTTCCATCTTTCTCAGTAAAAACAGCTTCAGCGCATTATAGTAGCTTTGTTCTTGAAGTAGTTACAGTTTTGTTTCAAGCATTTGAGTTTTGTAGCTACTGGTGCTTTTTAATGCACAAAATTTGCATAGCTTCTATGTTTGACAGCTTATCTAGAAAGTGCTATATTCAAATCTAAGCTAACAACAGTAACTTGAAGAACTGATCCTGCAGTTCTTTGCTCACAAGAAGTTGATCATTACTGTTTATATTACTGCAAAGCCAAAAAGACATTTCTATCATAAAGACCAAGATATGTAATTTTTATTTTTGTTTTTCCTTTTCTTGGGAAGCGTTTTCCAGTTGCAGACTTTCCAGAGGACTCTGGATTTCCTGCATTGCCAGCAAACTTTACAAGACATAATCCTCTCAGAATAACAAATGGGAATCTGAGCGAAAACATTAACCATTTATTTGGCTCTGATCTTATATTTGGTCATGAACTTGAAGAGCCTCTACTGAATAAGTCAAATGAAAGTAAGCATAAACAAACAGGATTACGTATTCCTGAACACTTAACATAGATATATGCCCTCATGCTACATATTATATGGCCATATAAAGCATTTTTAACAAGGACATTTTTATCTTTCCTGGGTATCTTGCAAGTCTGCAAGTTTCTCACAACCTTCCCAGAGCTGGGAAACACATATGTTTTCTGGAGGAATACATATCTTTGTCAGTTCTTCACCCTAGCATGGATCTTCAGATTCAGTCTGTATCATTGATAGAAGAATTAGCCTTTCAGTGCTTTCAAAAGCTTTGGGTTGTGTTTCTTTTTAATTTATTAACCAATTTCAGTCTGTAAATTAAAGTTTTAGCTATGCTAGGAACTGAAAGGAAGTAATGTAACATTGTTCTGGTGAGGAAAATTAAGAAGAAGAAGAGAAGAATGAGTGCAGTACTTGATGACTGGCAGCTGGGGTGAGGCTGTGCAGGGAGAATACCCATGTGCATTTTGTGTTACAGGTAAGCCTAAGACCCCAGGAATTACTACAAACAATCTTTGAAGCATCCATGCAGAAAGAGCTCTTAGGCAAGCCAAAGGAGCGGCAACTAATCCTCTAAACCATTTGGTGCATCACAGTGCTACTTCTCGAACCAGCCAACTGCATCAGGGCAGCACAGAAAATGCAGGCAGGCGAGGCTCTTACCAGCCCTAAACACTGCTGCTGCTGCTTTCCTTTTTTAGGGGCGGGTTGCAGCCAAAGCACTTTTCTTCAGACATTACTTTTCTTTCTCAAAATGCTGCCGTATTTTCTTTACCTCAGTTTCCAGATCCACCAAAAATGTGTTTACTCTCTTTCTGCTGATAAAACTTGCAATGCATCTAAGAAAACATCTAGACAACAATTTAAATTTTTGCAATTAGAACAATGACTATACTATAAAATGGAGCCAGCTGTTTAACAGAAATAAGCTGGTATCTCCCAAACCCATGCTTAATCCTGTTCTATTACTAACTCAAGACTTTCTGGTTTATTTGTTTGTTTGTTTTCTGTTGCATGAAGTCTAGTTGTGTTTAGTAATTAAAAATATTAAGTATGGAAGCAGAAATGCAAGGGTAAAACTGTTACTGTGGTTAAAGATATCTAATAATTGTGATACAAACAGCAGTATCTTGCTCTTACTGACTGCCAGCAGCTGGAACAAGCCAGTGTGTGACTGAATGTTACACCAACATTTCTTATTGTATCAAACGTTTCTCCACAACAAGGAAGTGAACAAACAGGTCTGGCACTAGGATTTTTATATTTCCA